AACTCACCAGATAATTAGAGATAACTTGCATGAAACTCCCACTTACGGAGGATGGGTTGAAGCTAAAGGACCTAGATACTGTCCTTCCATTGAAGATAAGGTGTGTTTAGAAAGTATGTCACTTGCCACCCCGGGGGGAGGGGGGGAGTTTTTTACGCCCCCATTTTATTATTCAGACCAAAAATCAATCTCAACTAGTTTTAAGAAAACGTGAAGTCTGCAGCGTCAGCTGCATTGGGATTATTTCTAGTTCCCCCCAACTAACAAAATATTGTTCACTTTAGATTGTAAGGTTTCAAGATAAGGAGTCTCATCAGATATTTCTTGAACCGGAGGGCCGACATGTGCCTGAGCTGTATGTGCAGGTATTCTTTTTCCTCTCTTTCCCGTGAATCATACTCATAAGCTATACTAAAAGGTGTAGTTCTATCTTGTGTGCTGGTGATTAATTTAGATGATATAAGAAGTGAAAAAAGGCTATGGGTTTTTCACAGATATGTACACCCCAAGAGATATTAATGCAAGGAGTTTGAAACTGCCTATGTCTGGAGTATGAGCAAGATTATAAGTTTGTCATCCATTCTTTCCTTCTTGAAAGACTCTCGGAAATTTTAAAGTTTAAAATATTACAGATTTTATGAAACAACAAACAGAGAGAGAAAGGGAGAAAGAACAGGCATTTAATGTCTTAAGGGACGAAGATATGTAGATTGAAGGAGGCAAATGACTGAGAGATAAGTGTTGGGCAGCTTATAGTTAACAGCTTTTATCCAAGACGGAATTACTGCCATTCTGGCCGTGAGTGTACAGAAAAGGGTAAATAATCATGTTCAATATTTAATTCTTGTGTGCAGAATGCAGATAGTATTCCATTGCCATTCTGGCCGTGAGTGTTCATGATGAAGCTAACTTTTTTTGTACATCTGAAAATCATTAACGCAACTTCATCCTAGGATATCTACCCAAATTCTTACCTGCTCTGACTGCTTGAGTTAAGCTTGGGGGCATGATTGAGCTAATTTTTTAGGTCTTCATGCCCTTTCCAATTTAGTTTTTTAGTTTACTGTTTTCTTAGTTTTAATATGACTGTCTTTGAGCATCTTTAATATAAGATAGAGTTCCCAAAATTACTACTTTTCTGATGACTCATGAGTTAGTACCTTGCAGTTGTTAAATTATAGTTCATTGATCCCTTGAATACCACTTGCAATAGAACAAAATATACGTCATTAACCTTTTCTTCTTCTAGTAGGGGTTTTCAACTGGTTTACCTGAGAGACTACAGTTACCTTTGTTGAGAACTTTACCTGGACTTGAAAACTGTTCAATGCTGAGGCCTGCGTATGCTGTTGAGTATGATTTTTTGCCTGCTCATCAATGTGCTAGATCTCTGATGACAAAGAAAATAGAAGGATTGTTCTTCTCAGGTCAAATAAATGGAACCACAGGCTATGAAGAAGCTGCAGCACAGGTATTATGCCTTTGTGCTTCTAAATTCCATTTAATTTTGGTTGCGTGTATTCTTAGTTATATCTTGAGAAAAAGCAGTTTAGTACCTTGGTTTATTTTGTCATCCTGCTTATCTGACAAGATTTCTTAAAATTTACAATAACGATTTTTTTCTTTGCAGGGCATAATTTCTGGCATCAATGCTGCTAGACATGCGGATGGTAAGTCACTTGTTATTCTTGAAAGGGAGAGCAGTTATATAGGAACATTAATTGATGATCTAGTCACTAAGGACCTGCGGGAACCTTACCGTATGTTGACAAGGTATGCTAACTGAAGTTGTAATTTTCATGCTCAGTGATGCTTTCTTCATTTGTTAACAAATGTATATTTCTACATGCGCCTTCTCCAGCCGGTCAGAGCATAGATTACTCTTGAGATCTGATAATGCTGATAGTCGTCTTACTCCATTGGGTCATGAAGTTGGGTTGATAGATGAGAGACACTGGAAATTGTATCAGGAGAAGCAGGCTCGGATTTCTAAGGAAAAGAAGCGATTGAAAAGTGTTAGGATTTCAGGTTCTTATTATTTATTTTTCTTGGATATTACCTTATTCTTTGAAGCTGTATTGGTGGAAGAAGCTAATCCTCAAAGGGATGCTTGGGGGACGGGAGGGAGAGGAAAGGGATAAAGAAAACACAACAGATCAATTAGTCCTGTTTGAACAAATTTGTCTTTTTGTCAAAAGGTTAATTATAATGCTTTAGTTTCTTAACAAAAACTTTTAAAAAAATGACGGATATTTATAATAATAAATGAATTGTTCCCCCTGAAATTGGCAGAAACATGAGGGTTGGTGGGCTTCACAGAATTTTAAAGGCTCAGTGAAATTCCACATTTCTCTCCGCTCTTTAATAAAAAAGAAAAATTATAACAGAGAAAACCTTTCACATTTCAATGAAAGCTTTCTTCCCTTCACTATTTTCCAATCCAAACATACCCTTAAGGAAAACAATTTACTGTTATTTTTTCTTAGTAACAAATATTTCTATATTAATGCATGTTGATCTTAGTGCAGTTTTGAGCTTGGTTTTTTGTTGTCAATTTCGAAGGTTTCCAAACTCTGAAAATGAATGGCCTATGAGCCGCTTACCATTAACTTGAGCTATTGCTATAATCTAATCTGCAATGAACAAACAGATGTGCCTTTTTTAGTAAATGATAATGTAGTGAGAAACTGCAGAGCCTGTGTAAAAAAAAATAAATTTCAAGCCCTTCCCTCTTCACTGCATGCTGATCCCACTTAATGGGATAAGTGTTGTTGTTGTTGTTGTTTTAAATCCTCACTACATCTGCCTGTGAATACAGTCATTGAACTTATATAGTCTAGGTATATCCATTTTAATGTCATGTAGAAATATAAATAGTTTATAATTGCAATTTTCCACTCTCTTAGCAAGTGCTTACCCTTTCTCTTTCCTTTTCAGGCAGCATTACCATATCTTATCTATTCAATCTTTTACTTTCTCAACAACAACAACAACAAAAAGCCTTATTTTATTAAGTAGGATTGGTTACATGGATTACACGATACCATTGTGTTCTATTATCAACCAATTTTTTAGAAATATTGTTAACTAAGAGAATCTTCTACTTTCTCATAGTAATAAAATCTTTTTCTGTTATAAAAAATATTTTGTTATTCATAACTACCATTGTTATCCTTCTCACTTCTGTCCAGGAGGGGATTTGGCTGCTGATGTCATGAATGTATCTGGTCAGCCAGTGAGGGACTCCTCAACACTGGAGAGTCTTCTTAAGAAACCACACATACAATATGGAATTCTTGATAAGCATGGTTTTGGGAACAGCAACTTATCAAGAATGGAGAAAGAATGTGTCGAGATTGATATTAAGTATGAAGGCTTCATCTTGCGTCAGCAAAGCCAGCTTCAACAGGTACGGGATATACATGTCAATTAAAGGAATCTTGAATCCATTTAAATTTTACACATTTTAACATAGAAGAGGTGTATTAAATGTCAAATTACACGACTGTGTTGACATACCTGCAGATGGTCGGTCAACAGCATAGACCACTCCCTGTGGACTTGGATTATTATGCAATGACAACTTTGTCTCTTGAAGCACGTGAAAAACTCTCCAAGGTTTGTAACATGCCTGGTTATCTATATATGGTTTATTATTAGAGTTAAGTTTTCTACACATTCTCACAAATGAAAAAATAAAACAGGTGATGAGATCTCTTAGGAGTCTAATGGAATAAGAAACTGGTCATTATATTACTCATGCCTATGAAAGGAAGAGAAAAATAAATCATTCTTCTCCTTAACGTTGGTTTAAATCTAACAGTTCTTAGTGTCTGTTTGGATCATGGAGAATGAATAATAAGGGGAAGAAAGAAAGTGTTTACCATGTCTAAATCTAAATAAAAATTTCCCCCTTCACTCCTTACATTCTGAGTCATGAACTCAGAGAGAAGCATCTGTTCCAAAGATTGATACTTTCTGCTGCCAATAAGAATCTATTCTCATAGCTGCAATTTTGTTCTTGGGACTGAACCATGAAATATCATTTAAATGATTGTAGGTGAGGCCGCAAACCATTGGTCAAGCAAGCAGAGTTGGTGGGGTGAGCCCAGCAGATATCACTGCTCTACTTATTGTGCTCGAAACCAATAGAAGGAAAACTCGAGAACAAAAGAGATGCCAAATGTTAAATGCCATTAGAAGAGATACCCAAGAAGTGGTGCCTGAAGTAGTTCCTTTCACCGAAACGGTCAGCCCCGGATAAGTCTATTTCTACTTGTAAGCCGTGCTAAAGCATGCATCTTGGTGGCTCGAAGATCTACTTTAGGCAACCATGTTCATGGAGACAGTGTGTAGGACTTGGTTGAGCCAATTGATTAGTGTTAAACCGGACAACTTAAATTTTTGAAACACAAACCCCACCCCAAAAAAAAAAAGAAAAAAGAAAAAAAGAAAATGTTTATACTTCATAGTGGAAATAGAATATGTATGGCTTGTATAATCAATGGATAGTTGTCAGAATGACTTTGCTGGAAGTTGTGTCACGGAATGTTGATAAACAATTTACAAAGCCCCCCAGGGGTCACTAAACCGGGAAGACGCCTATTTTTGGTCCTATTTACCTTGACCAGCTGATCAAGTTAGTCTTCTATTATTTCATAGTCTGAAAATATCAAACTAGTCTTGAACCCAACCTAGTTATATCATATACTTATTTATTTTTTAGTTTCTAGAAAACTTGGGGAAAAAGACTGAAAAAGTTGCCTACTACACTAATTCATCAAATCTGAAGTTCAGAGGAACCTCTCAGTAGATTCTAAAATACAGAAACAGAAAACAAATTAGCATAATGAAGAAGACGTGAAAGAACAACAAAATGTAACACTAATCATTATCAAATTTTATATAAGCTTTTTCATGTTTTGATGTTCTCTCTTTATACTATGTCAATATGTCATGTTAGAATTGAGTTTGAAGAGGAAACCACAGAATTAAAGTTTATAAGAAAAGGAAAAAACAACACGCACACACACCCATTGTACGTAATCAACTATAATAATCACTTTCTAAATGGATTGATCATCGTCCAAAACAAAAAAGGATTGATCAAATAAAATAGGAAACTTTGTAGAATAGAAAATAATATTAAATATAAAATTTCAAATACTAAATCATATTTAATTACATTTAACATATGTGTTACGTCAAATATGGGTCGTCTCCATTTGAATTAATAGCAAACTCAAACCCCAACTTCCACATCCATAAATGGAGCCCGCTTCGTTCTCTCTTTCACACTTTGTGAGCGAATTTCATTTAACATTCCTTCTTGTGGGTAAACAAACTTTTGAACAATATACAATCTGGAAGATCCACACCTCTAATGGAACGTGAGCCATGTTGATGATTACAATGGACAATGATAAAGACGAATCCATGATCTGTGCTTCACGTTTTTGATATTGTTCTTCATCTCCTACTCATCCAATCAATGCCTGCACCGGAATTCAGCAATGGCCGTGCGTACATATGGATCACCGCTTGTATCTTGTTCACCTGCATCGTCGCCGGCGGCGCCTGCCTCGTCGCTTACGTGTTGCTTCCTGAAGACCAAGTGGAGTCTTGGTTGCCCGTGGCTGGGGTGGTATTGGTTTGCCTTCCGTGGGCGTTTTGGCTCTTAACTTTCATATACCGAATCGTTTCTCGTGCCTTCGGATTTAGGGTTAGGTTTGGGGGTGGAGGTGGAGACGGAGGACGAAGAGCTGGAAATGAGAAGAATTACTCTGGAAATGATGATATTGAGGGTGCAGGTGGTCTCGCAAATGGCAAGGGAGATGTTCAATTCGGAGAAGCCGGAGGAGCGGCGGCGCGTGGTGGACTGCAGAGGACGTCGTCGTCTGTTTCAAACGAGAGCGAAATGCCATTAGCGAAGTCGTTGAATTCGTGATCGAATTGGGAAAAAATTTTGTCGTGTCGTATTTGTGGCTCTTGCCCTCCATGCAAGAAATTAAACTGATCAGCTCGCCGATTTCTTTTCACAAATTTTGATGATCTTCTGTTTTGGCTTTGGCCTGTGACTGATCTGAGGAACATATAATTATACTTCAGCATCTTGACGATGACTCTACCTCATTTATCAGATTAAACGAGGGATATAAATACAAAATACAGCAACATGAGAAGATTCACGGAAACTTTTTGTTTTTATTTTTTTTTTGTTTTAAAACAGGTTTTTAATTAGGAGATTAACATCTTGCTCAGGATCTTATAGAGGATGTGAATTTAATTATTTAATTAATTATCATAGGCTTAAAATTTCTTAGTTATTGATTTGATACATTTATGAATATGATATCATATCATTGATTGATTATTATTTCAGTTCACTTCTTCAGGAATTATTTGCTTGTCATTTTGCATTTGATCTCCTTGTTCTTTCTTATTTGATGAGCATGGACATCCATTGTAAGGTACATGAATGAAAGTAGTCTTTTGTCAAAAAAGATTAACAAATGACTGTTTTTTTTTTTTGTAATGAAAAACTGTAACTACTAATCAAAATGATTATAAGCTGTAATTAGTTGAAGACTTCCTTTTATCATTCATCACCTTTTTATAATAAGATGGAGGTTGATCAAATGTTTGGTAATTACTTACTCTATCCCAAGCATTAACAGCCAAAAAAAGGGTACAATAATTTGCTTCCTTGTAAACAAAGTTAACAAAAAACCATCAAATCCCTACTCAAAAGCATCCTGGCGTCGTTAATAACATCCCTGAAAGGGTGTTGTAGGAACTCATATCTAGTAAGTAGTAATCGGATTCAAAGTTTCCACACAATCTGTGTAAACTTGCACCTTGTGGTACTTCCTTTCCCAACACAACTACACACCATCGATAATACCAATTAATTTAGTAATAGTTGGGGGATAGTAGCCTATGTTTGCATTGAAGCCAGCAATCCACAAAAGCAGAGCAATCTCTTATCACACCACCACATTTTTCAATTCCATCTTTGATAGAGCCATCAATATTCAATCTAACATCAACCTCAAGTCTTACCCATTTATGGGAACAGATTCTAGCATTCTTTGCTATCATTGAGATATGTAAAATATTCATAACCATTCTAGCTAGCCTTATGTTACAGCAACACCAGACTCAAGGCTCTCTTCCTCCTCACAAGAGAAACCTTACTTGTCTAGTAAACTTTTTACCTACCTCTCGCAAATTTCACTTTATCCTGTCTTCATTGTTTAAACTTTGGAATATATGCAACATCTGTGTCTTAATCAAGCTAAACCACATTTCTCAAGCATGAGGACAATCTCTGAGTAGGTGCATAGCATCTTCTATCATTCCGCATCCAAGTAGACATAAGTTTGAAGACAACAATCCTCTTATGGCTTGCAGATATGTGGTGTGTAATCTATTCTTAGCAAGAGCCATGAAAGGATCTTGATCTTCTCCGAGCCTGTCCATCCCCAAATATTGCTCCAAAATAAATCATCTGAGGAATGAGTACCTGCAAGAAAAGATAGGCAGTATCAGATACTAAAATTTTCATCGTCAGAAGCTCCCCAAGTGTATATCTCCTCTCCTCTCTCAGCTCTTGGTATGGGTGTGCAAGCAATTTTATGAGCAACGTGACTAGGCAAGCAGTTTGAAAGTGTTCCTGTCCCCCACAAAGGTAACATAATCAGCAACCAAATCACTAGCATCATATGAGGTATAGTTGCCACGTGTGAAAGAGGTCTATAACAAAAGGACCATCATCTGTCAGTCCAAAATGTTGTGGACATACCATCTCCCACCCTTCTACCAATACATACAAGAAAGTGCCCCAACAAGTGACAATATTACGCCAAGTTAGAGAGACCTCTGCTCTCCGTTCGATTTTGGGAATAATGCCACTGCTTGTATTTGGACTTCAACACTTGGACCCGCAATGAAATCCATTATCAAGCATCTTCCAACGCAGTTTGAAATTGAAAGTTTTATTTTGCTTAGAAAGATCTTGGAAAAATGACAAGGAAGTATCCCATAAGAAAATTAATGTCAAATTAAGATTCTTCATAACTAAAATTTTCAAATTCAATATTTCTTCTCTCATATTTTAGTATTAAAATTTTTTATTTAATATTAATTTTTTTTAGGTCCTTATTTATTATTCTCCTAGAGATCTTTAACTTCTAAAGTTACACTTTTATTGTCCACAAGAATCTCCTTTCAAGACAATAAATGCTTTTTTTTTTTTGCCATCAACCAAACCCCACGGGAAGCTTCTACATAATTTTTCCACCTCATCAAGCAGTTTTTGAGGTAGAAACATGGTCTGCACGTAATAATTGGAAATTGTTGTAATCACCGATTTTAGTAACATAAAGGACCGTTGGCTTTTGTTTTGCTTTCTGTTATTGATTTTTTTTTATTTTATTTCATAATGGAGACTCAAGCTGTTAAAAAGCCTAGCCCCCATGTCATCATGTATGGGAGCCAAAGGTTGGGGACATACATGTGTGTGTTTATAATTTTGTTACTTTGCGATTCTTCTCAATTACTCCCCTGTTATTCTATTTAAAAAAAAATAAACGGATGGTGTTTTTGATAAATCAATTCATATAAATAAATAAAATTTTAATTATTTTCTTTTTATTATATATTTTCACAATTTTCTATATATATAAAGACAAGGGGCATAAAAAGGAAATGATTTTAGAAATGATAT